TGCAGTTTCTTCTCCAATATCATACTTGCTAGAAAAGCAGGAGGGGGGGCGGGGGATTATAGAAAGAATAAAGTGGAAAATAATTTAGGGTTTGGGTGGGTTTATAATTATTAATATTAAAAATATATTAATTAATTAACGAAATATCCGATTTTTGAAATAGTAAACATCACAAAATATATGATATATAAAATGAGGGGAAAAATTCACAAATCATGCTTTAAGTATAGAGACTTCACAAATCAGGTTTTAAGTTTACAAAATGCAAAAGTCAGGTTTCTTAGTTAATCAATTAAAAATATTTATTAACTAAATATAACAAGGTCACAATTATATAATTAATGGTCACATATACATAATTATAGGCCATAATTTATTTATTGATCACATATTATCAAATTAATTGGTCACAGATTATTTCGATGTCACAAATCAAAAGTTTTTTAGGTCACAGTTTATTTCGTTGGTCACAGATCAAAAAATTATAGGTTACAATTTTTCTATCAGTCACATATTTTCAAATTTGTTGGTCACGTATTATTTTTCGATCACAAGTTATCAAAATTTTAGGTCACAATCTACCAAATACTTGGTCACAAACACCAAATAATTGGTCACAGACCTCCGCCACCAACACCACTAGTCCACTGCCAATTGCTCGCCACCATCACCATAGTTTAATTATAGTTGGTCACAGACGTCAAAATAGTTGGTCACAGATTCCAAACACCCGCACCACCGAGCTCGATCCAGCACCACCAATAACAACACAACACACTACAACCTACATCTGCACCACAATTGGTTAAACACCACACACCGATAGTGCCACCAACACCACCGCAATCATAGCGTACACACACCACCACCGTATCCAACCACACACTACCATCACCACAAGGAGCATCAACACCACCACCACACCCCAATGTCGCCATTGTTGAAAACCACAAAAATCCCAAACCACCACCACCACTACACTTTGAGGTCGCCCCTGCTGAAAACCGTAGCAGCCCTAAACCACCATTACCACCACCATAAGCAACATCAAAACAACCACACACCCTTCAACATACCCGTGCAAGTTTTCCAACCTGAAACTCGCTGATTCACTCCTACACCTGTTCGAACTCGCCCAACTCACTCTTGAACTCATTCGACCTCTTCTTCAACTTCTTCAAGTTGAATCCAACTTACCATCCTACCCACCCGGCACCACCATCGCATCCACCACCACTCCAAAAACTAACAAACGCACCTATACACTTCCACACACACTGAAATTACACAAATCAACAAACATTTTTCTGTCGTGGCAGCGCTGCTACACTGTCGTCAACCAGCATTGCCGCACAATGTAGCCACGACGGCGCCACGCATCACCTCAGTGAGCACTAACTTCAATTCTCACAGCGACACTCAGATCAACATTTGACGATTTTGTAGCAGTCACGACATCGACGATCGTCGTGAAACCAAAGCTCGTCGTGGCATCTGTGCTAGTTGCGGTGTCGTGCGGTGCTGTGAGTTCGGCGTGCATTGTTGATGTGGGCGGTGGTCTCCGACAGTGGGAGGCGGCGTCGGTGTAGGTTGAGTGAGAGAGTAAGGAGAGAAAATGGAGTGACGTGAATTTGAATTTAGAGTTTCAAATTAGATTGGTATGATATATTTTATTATTAATATTAATAATTAAATCAATACCTGAATTTTGAATTAAAAACCTTTTCACTTGATTATTGCACTATGATCTTCAAATGTCTGGAATTTTGTAATTTCCACTAAAATGAGATCTCTAAATATCTTAAAGTCACAGATCCATAAAGCCCAACTACAAACTTATATACACACATGGCCCAAAGACAACAAGCCCAATAAACTAAATATCCAAAACCAACCTTCAGCCCAATTACAACCAAACAGACCCACAACCCAACATAATCATCTTCCACCCCTACTGCCCTAACGCCGTTTGCAATCGTCGGAAAGCCACTTCCAGTCTGCACTCAATTACTCTACATTTGTTTTAGCTTGGCAATGGTGGAGAGCAGTCCATGGAATCTGGCGAAGAGGATGGAGGGTTAAAAAAAAAAAAAGGATGATCTACCAACAGCTAGCAAAACAACAAGTTACATACTAATGAAGGCATGCTGAACACCAAGTAGAGAAAGATGGAGAAAAGGGAAAAAGAAAAACCAATCATCTGTAATAGAACATGACATGTACAATGATTAAGATTTCAAGGTCAATTATGTCAGGAAGGAGTCTTCTGTGGATGTTGGTGATGAGGACGACGAAGCTAATAATACCAATCAAAGCAAAATACTTACCACTTACTCAAATAACCACCATCCAATTTCTTCCACAAATTATCGCTGCAAATAGCGAACTCCAACTTCCAAGCCACACAAAACCACCATCAAAGCAGTCACCCGTCACTGCTGAAAATTCTGTTTTCCATTGACATACCACCGCCAACCTTCACCTAAGGTAGAAACGAAGGACCAAACTCCAGTATCATCGGTCCAACCCAAGAATGAGATCTGAATATTTTTGGAGGAATTTTGTGAATAGTGACGCCAAAATAAGTATAATGATGGTTTGTAAATCCGTGCCGAAAATTGGATAGAGTAACGGCAAAGAAAACACAAACAACAAGAAGAAGAAAGTAGGGACAAAGCCGAGGCAAGAGTTGGACTCTTTGTCCTTAAGTCGAATTTGCCCTGCAACGGTGCCTACGAATTTCGGCAATCGACTCCCAAGATACAACGGCTACACTTGTATTTGTAGCACTCTAAAACACAAGTACAACGAACCAAATTTAGGCTTATGTACTCTAAGGATGAAATGAAGGAAAATCAAAATAAATAAAATGATTTTGATTTTGGATAGAAGAGAGGATGAGAGATGTTTTGCATATCAAATTGTTAGGAATAGGACACTCAAAGGGTCCTATTTATAGACCATGAAAGGGTGTGGACGAAATGGTTGAGGCCAAACCATGCACCCTTTCCAAACAATGTACCTTTATGAAAAGGTGTCTATTCACTGGACAACCGTGCGGCCGCACGGTTATAGACCGTGTGGTCGCACGGTTTTACTCAAAAAAAACCGGAATTGAATTTGACGTGTGATCGCGCGGTTTACCAACCATGCAGTCGCACGGTCAAATATTTTGACCTGATTTTCGTCCTTTTTCGATCCCCGTTTGTGCGCCCCGAAGCGGCGAAGTGGCAAACAATTTTGTCTAAACGGATTGAGTCGAGCTTTTGAATATTTGACCGAAGTCAATACGAAGTCACTTTAATTGATTTTCAATTCTCGATTTATTTAACCAATATCCAACAAATAGCTCCAAGAAAAACATCGATTCCTCCAGCATAGTCGCTAATGGGACCATTAGACCATAAGCCTCAATACCCAAAGTGCAAAAATTAGCACGAACGATAATAGACCCAGCAAACTGGACGAGGACAAAAAAACGAAAAGAAAATCAAAAGGAATGAACGAAGACAAAATTGCTAGCCGGCCGTGCTTGCCGGAAGCAAAGGTTAATTTATTTGGAATCGAAAGTGCTGTAATATCATGTCAAATATACTTGATATCCCGCACATATTGTCATTATATAGAACCAAATCGATCTAAATATGATAAAAATAATCTATATATTAATATATGTATATGGTACAATTATAATTGTAATATAGTTGTAATATTCGACGACATCCGTAATCTTAATTTAACCTCATTTAGTGCAAATAAATTAGAAGCATCAAATTTGTATATGTTATTTCTGGTTGATAGATCAACCAAAGCTATAGGTTGGAACATCCTAGAATAATATATATATAACTTTTTTTTTTATTATTATTATTATTATTTTTTTTTTTTTGAGAATTGTATGTGACTTACAAAGGGTGGCAGGAAAATGTAGAGGATGGGTGGGTACATCTGATTATTGCTGGGAGTTAAAAATTGAAACTTGGTGCTAACATCTATCAGTTTAATGGAAATGTCATTGCTGATTGCACACAAACTGTTTGATTGATTTACTACCTGAGAAGTTGCTTCCGGCTAAGTGTTAAAGAGTTTTGTCTCGCATTGTGGGATTCTGCTCTACTTATTGAAAGTTTTATTCTTCTATCATATGTTTCAAAGCTTGGGTATTACTGTAGACTTCATAGTGGTACTAATACTACTAATATGTAATGTGTGATGATATTTTAAGATTCCTCGTGAAAAATATGGATTTTGAAAAGAATGGATCATTCATGATAGGGAAATAAAGATGAAATTTTGATGTTACAAGTTGTGCTAATTCATATTTTTAGTGTTCTTGTTTTATGGTCCTAGACACATCTCGATAAGTATTTACTTGTGTGCCAATGTGTAAGTACTTATATTCAAACTGTTTATGCAGAAAAAATATCATGTAACCTTTATTTTAGTCCTTCTACTTCAACAAGAACTCCAAAGTGAGAGCAGTGGAGCGACGGGAGCTGAGCCTCTAGTGTAAAAGGTAATGCTTAAGCGTTTTCCTCTATTTACGCTTCAAATTCACACGATTCATATCTTCGAGTTGCCAAATTGTTTCCTGTGGGCACTATCCGTTTGAGGTTCAAATTCAGTCTTTGACGTAATTTAGTAGTTATTGATGGATAATATCATCCAAAGATTCTTTTTCTTTTTTTTTTTCAATGGACTGTATAACACCGTCAAAGTCACGAAAGTGTTTCTAGGTGCTTCTCACCTACACTCAATAACAGAACACAAATTATTTTGTCAAGAAATAAATTTGAAAAAACACTTTGAGGAAGAAAAGATAAAGATATTTTAATGTAGATTGTTGGTCTTCACATTATTGTTCTGTTCTTTTGTCATCAAATCTGGCTAAAGTCTCCTGAAATTTGTGGAAGTGTGTCGATGGGGATATTTGGAGAAATATATGTACGAATATTTTTTTATGGAACATTGGTTATGCCAATTTTTTCTGGAAACACAAATTTTCATGTAATTGCTGATTTATAGATTAACCAAATTTATGCTGGAACATCCTTAAATCGTTTGTTATAAAACGTTGGTCTGTTCAACAGACAAAATTATGCTATATTAAGCATCTGTGGTTGTTGCTAGGAACATTGATTTAACCTTTTGAAGTCTGGCTACAACTTCCCTCATACTGATTCTTTCCATAGGAGAATTGGTCAAACATTCTATCGCCAAAGCCAAAATGGATGAGACACATTGCTTCTTTGCAGAGAAATGTTGGTCTTCTCTTCCAAGCAAATTGCTGTCCGCAACTTCAGTTATGGTATTCTCGGATAATGACTGACTCACCCAACTTTTCAAGCTCATTTTTTCACCAAACATCTCGTCAGTTGGCTTCTTTCTTGTATACATCTCCAGCAGCATTACACCATAACTGTAGACATCACCACTAGTGGATACTATTCCTTCAGTTCCATATTCTACATTGACGTTAAGAATTCATAAGATCAGATCATAAGTTTAGAAGCTGAAATTGAAGATTTCATTAATTTTTATTGAAGAAAAAAATAACCCTATCACATTCAAAAGGGAACATCACCTGGTGCCATATATCCAATTGTTGCTAAGGTCTTCGTTTGAACCTCTGATTCCCCTTCACCGAAGAGTTTGGCTATACCAAAATCAACAACATGTGCAACCATATCTTGGTCGAGCACGACATTGCTAGGCTTTAAATCACAATGAACAATAGCAAATGTATGATAATGATGCAGATATTCTAGAGCTAAAGCAACATCGATCGCTATATTTAACCTTTTTAGCATGTCCAAGAAATTATTGTGGGAATATAACCATTTCTCCAGGCTACCATTAGGCATGTACTCCAGTATTAGGGCTTTGAACTCTGAGTTACTGCAACATCCAATGATTCTGACTAAATTTCTATGACGTATGGTGCTCAACACTTCACTTTCAATATCAAAGCTCTTGGTTACTTGGTGGGACTGCAAATTGAAAACTTTCACCGCTACATTTAGCCCATCCGAAAGTGTTCCTCTGTATACTGAACCAAAACTCCCACTTCCGATTTTGTTGGTTTCGCTGAAATCATTTGTTGCGTCCTGAAGCTCCCGATAAGAAATCCTTCTCCATGCACGATGGAATGAAATTTCACTCTCGGGTGCATCTCGGTGCAGTTGTCTTCGTCTTAACACCAAAAATGTCATGCTCACTGCAAGAACAACTGCTATGATAGGAGGAATAATATATTTCACTAATGACTTCCCGTTCTTTGACCTTGTTCTTTTAAGAGTCTCCTTACAAAGTGGAAATTGTTTTCGAGTTTCACTGCAAAGATCATAGTTTTGCATGAATGATTGAGTGGTAAAGTTCGCAAAACGCCCTCCCGATGGAATCTCTCCCTCTAGTCTGTTGTGAGACACGTCAAAGTATTGTAGATAGTTGAGTGCCTCCAATGACGTTGGAATCACTCCAGAAATACTATTGTAGGACACATTTAATGATTCCAAGCTTATTATGTTTCCGAGAGACGGAGGAATAGATCCTTGAAATTTGTTGTGTGCAAAAGATATGGACATTAATGATTGCATGCTGCCAATGGAACTCGGAATATCACCTGTGAATTGATTCCAGGACAAGTCTACTTCGTTGACCACATTCAAATTTTTAATTTCTAAAGGTAGAGAACCACGAAAACTGTTGTAGGACAAGTTTAGTCTCAGAAGATCTTTAAGGTTCCACAAGTTTACTGGTACTTCAGATTCCAATCTGTTGGAGTTTAAGTAGAGTCCTCTCAGAGATTTGAGTTCCCCCATGCATGCCGGAATTGGCCCATCGAGCGTATTTTCATTTAGGTACAAGTCCCCCAAATTGCTTAACTGGCAAATCTCTACGGGAATATATCCATCAAGTTTATTGTGTTCAAGATAAACACGTTGAAGACTTTTTAAGTTACCAAGTGTTCTTGGGATGGATCCCGTTAACTGATTGCTATCTAAATATAAATCTTTCAGGCTGCTTAAGTTTCCAATTTCAGTAGGAATAGCACCCTTAATGTTGCATCCAAATGCTCTGAACACCTGAAGAGACGAGAAATTCCCAATTGATGCAGGGAGAATACCGTTTAGCTGATTCAAAGATACTTCAAAAAGCTCCAAATACCGGCAATTTGTCAATGAAGAGAAAAATTTCAATTCTGGACTCGAAGGTTCTCCTGTCAAATTATTTCCTCCAATCATGAGGCGCCGTAGAAGTCGTAAGTTACCAAAGTTGGGCATAATGCCAGAAAAAGAGTTACTGCCCAAGAATAAGAAGTTGAGTTTGGAAGAATTGGTGATAGAACTGGGTATTAATCCACTGAGTTTGTTTTGACCCAAATGAAGCTCTTCAAGATTGGGAAGTGAAAGCCCCATGGTTGAAGGAAGATGCCCTGAAAATTGATTGAAAGAAAGTGCCATCCTTTTCATAGTTGATATATTGAACACAGAATAGGGAATGGGGCCAAAGAAGCTATTGTTATAGATATTAAATTCCTCCAGATTAAGCTTGCCAAGCTCGGCCGGTAATTCCCCTGCCACAATGTAGAGACTATGATATCCATTAACTAAAGTTTTTAAGTACACCTATGAAGTGCATATTTAAAAAATAAACTTAACTATATGTTTTCTAGCTGGTATAATAACTATTAGGCAATCCATGGTTTAAACTCCTCTTCTAAAAGCAGAAAGTTGCCATAGGGAAAAGACTCAAACTAGCAGTGAAATGAAATTCATACTTGAAATAGGACACAAGAACCCTTAAATTTCCTTTAGCATTTTCTTCTCTATTTTTTTATTTATTTAATCATTTGCTTTATTGCCTGTTTCAAATTGTTCAGTAAAATGAACGAGAGAGAGAGAGATTGTCCAGGTAGAAAATTTTTTTTTTTTTCACATGCGGACCATAACAGTGAAATGGATTTTTCTATAATTTATGGATCAGAAATTTTTCTCCTTCTCATCAATATCCACGTGTTAAATTTTCAACAATACAAAGTGAAAGGTGGATCACAACATAGTATTGGTACAAGTTGATTGGTCTAGAGAATGTGACTTGAATTGTGCTAGTTATGGGGTGATATGGATCATAGATAAAATCCAATGATTGGATTTAATCTAGTAGTCAATTACCTATACTAGTGTTGTCACTCTCTAGACCATAGTACAATATTTGAATTTTGAATTCAAATGAATTGGCTCTATAATTTCAAGACTTCTTCATTCTCTCTATTTGGACTTGGCATAACATTAGAGAGAGCATAGAGAGGTAACCAAGTGGGAGCTTTCCATAACTCCGGCAAAATTCTTGGTGGCTTCCGATGGATTCTTTCTCGGTATATCCATTGTCATTCCCGTGGACGACGGTGCATGATCCGGTGTGGTACAAATCTGAGTTCAACATCAAGAACACTTCATTGGTGGTGTTGAAGAAGCTTGGAGTCGATTTTGGTTCAATTTTACACTTTGAGAGTTTATTATTCCGCATTGTAGTTGTAATTATCTTTTGTATTCTTCACTATAAACTCTACAAATAGTATCAAAGCTTAGGCTAGTGGTAAAAAGTGTTAAAACAACCTGAAAATCGGATTGGAAGTCGAAGGGGTTCGATTTTGTTTGAAAACAAGTTGAGCAGAAACTTTGAACCCATTTTCTGGAAAAACTGCACATCTAGTGGACAAACGAAGACCACCACCAGACTCCAAGCATCAAGCAAAACATTCTGGTTCAGCGCGTGGCGGTGGAGGCAGCGCGTGAAGTCACGCGCAGAAGACACTCTCAACGCGTGAGAAAGATTCAGCCGGAGGTCAAAAAATACAGATTGTTTCTTGATGAAATTCTGATCTTCTAGTGGTGTTAGATTTCAATTTGGTGCACTATGGAAACAGATACAGTCTCGGGCAGAAAAGTGGAAACAGAGAAACTTTTCCGTGGCGGCTCGGTGGTGTTTCCTGGTGCTTCAGCAGCTATTGGATGACTTAGGGCAGTTACTGTAGGCTTCAAATCAATAAAGACTCGCATCTCTCCTTAAAATACGAACCAATAGATTGGTTCGCTCGGTTTGCGCATTCTAACACTCTCTCGAATTTACAATTGAAATATTGTGTTATTTGCTACCATATTGTTACTTGACTCTTGTGATATTGGTTATGTGTTACTTGTTATGATATCATCATTTATGTCATCTTAGAAAGTAATTTATATATAAATTGATTTGGGCTTGCACTATTGTGTGGGTAAATTGGCTAAGTAAGACTTTTTTTGAAAACATTATTTTGCTAATATGGCCTCTCGAGTTGAATTGGTACAACTCAATGGTAAGGGAGATTATTCCATTTGAAAGCAAAAAATGAAAGCTATTTTAATTCAACAAAAAGTTTCTAAAGCTCTTGACGACCCGGAAAAATATCCCGATGCATTAAAAGCTAAACCGGATGAAATTACTGAGATGAATGAAATTGCACATAGTTTGATTATATTGCATTTATCCGATGATGTTTTAGGACAAGTTGAACGGCATAAGACTGCCAAAGAGTTGTGGGAGGCACTTGACAAGCTTTTTTTGGAAAAATCTCTTCCAAACAAAATACATTTGCTTCAAAAATTGTTTAGTTTTAAGCTGGACCCGGAAAATGATCTTGAATCAAATTTGAGTGACTTTAACAGACTCGTCAAGTGTTTGGCCCACAACGAGAAGAAATTTGATGATGAGTATCTAGCGGTTATACTTTTAAATGCTACGCCCGAATCTTATAGAGATGTTAGGAATGCTATCACGTATGCTAGGGATACTTTGACCCAAGATATTGTGACTGATGCTTTGAGGGCTAGGGAGCTAGAACTTAAGAAAGAGTCGAGGGGTAGCTCGAGAGAAGAGAGTTTGTTTGCTAGATGGAGAAATGAGACGAGATAGAACCATTTTCAAAGTAAGAAGGGCAGAGGAAAATCGAAGGGTAGGTCTAAGTCTAGAGATAAAAGTGGTAAGAAATGCTTCCATTGTGGCAAGTTAGGACATTTCAAGAAAGACTGTAATGACTTTAAAAGGAAACAAAGACCGCAGCAAAATGATGATCAGAACTTAGTTGATGTAAGTGATTCCCTCAATTGCCTACATGTTATGACTGTGTCAGGAGATTTTGACACCGAGTTAAATGGTGCTCATGATAACATACATGTCATGAATGTTTCTAATATTAATTTTGACACTGAGTGGGTATTAGACTCAGGTGCTACTGTTCATATGTGTCCTGTTAAATCTTGGTTCTATAACTATAGAGATGTGAATCCTAGAAAAGTATACTTAGGGGATGATCGTACACAAAACGTAGAAGGGGTAGGTGATATTGCTATTAGGATGCATGATGGCATTATCAGACCCCTCAGAGGTGTTAGGTATGTCCTGAGCCTGGCAAGGAATCTCATTTCCTTAGGCACTCTAGAAGAAGAAGGTGATGAGTTCAAATCTCATGCTGGTACTTTAAAGATTTGTACAGGATCTCTAGTAGTTATGAAAGGTCCCAAGAAGAATGGGTTATATGTCCTTCAAGGTAAAACCTTGGATAGTAAAGAGTCGGCATTATCTTTAGTTTGTGAAGATAAATCTGATCTTTGGCATAAGAGGATGGGACACATTGGGAACAAAGGATTGAAATACCTTAGTGACCAAAATTTACTTGGTAAGGATAGTGTTACACCTTTAAGTTTTTGCGAGACGTGTGTTCTAGGAAAGTTACACAAGGTTAGCTTTGGGACAGGTGAACACAACACTAAAAGACCATTGGACTACATTCATGTAGATTTGTGGGGTCCTGAAAAACACCCCACACATGGAGGAAATAGATTTTTTCTATCCATTGTTGATGATCACTCGGGAAAGTTTGGGTGTATCTCCTTAAATCCAAATCTGAAATTTTTAGTAAGTTTAAGTCTTGGCTTGCCTTAGTTGAAAATCAAATAGGAAAGGGTGTGAAACTCTTAGGACGGATAATGGTTTAGAGTTTTGTAACTTCGAATTTGATAATTTCTGCAAGGGAAAGGGTATAATAAGGCACAGGACTATAAGACATATCCCTCAACAAAATGGGGTAGCGGAGAGAATGAATCGGACTTTAATGGATAAAGTCAGATGTATAATGATTAATTCTGGGTTGTCTAAAGGTTTCTGGGGTGAAGTCGTGTGCACTGCTGCCTATTTAATAAATAGGTCACCTTCTAGTTCTATTAACTTCAAAACTCCTCAAGAGTTGTGGTCTGGAAAACCCCCAGATTTGTCACATATTAGAGTGTTTGGTTGTGGGCTTATGCACATCAGGTTGAGGGCAAATTGGACCCTAGGGCTACTAAGTGTGTCATGTTAGGTTATCCAGAAGGAGTAAAATGATATAGACTATGGGTTTTAGGTGTAAAGGGCATTAAGATTATTAACAGTAGAGATGTAAAGTTCAACGAACTTGATATGTCTTGTCTTAAAAACATAGTAAGTCAGAACAAACAGACTGAGGAAGGAGAATCTTCTACTGGAAAGAAGATGGAACTTGAGGCGAAGAGATTAGGAGATAATCTAGAGGATAGTGAAATCCAACTTCAAGAAGAATCTGATCAAGAAGCAGTGATAGAACAACTTGAACTTGAAATTCCTGAAACTGTTGTCCCTAATCAAGAAACATCTGCAGGTACTAATTTGGATGATTACCAATTAGTGAAGGATAGAGAGAGAAGACAAGTGAAGCCCAATTTGAAATACATCTCTTCAAATTTGATGAAATTTGTCCTAGTTTCAGGTAAAGCCTTGGAGTCAGTTGAACCGACTTCATTTGAGGAAGCGGTTAACTGTGAAAATTCTGAAAGTTGGAAAAAGGCAATGAAAGAAGAGATCCAGTCTCTAAACAAAAATGAGACTTGGATGTTGGTTGAAAAACCAAAGAATCAAAAGGTAATCCATTGTAAATGGATCTACAAGTTAAAAGGAGCAGGACCTAAAGACCCTTTAACATACAAAGCTAGGTTGGTTGCAAAGGGATTTACTCAGAGAGAATGGATAGAATATAATGAGGTATTCTCACCAATTATTAAGTATAAAACTATCATGTTAGTCTTAGCCTTAGTTGTCCAGTATGATAGGGAGTTGGAACAACTAGATGTTAAGACGGCTTTTCTTCATGGGGAGTTAGATGAATTGATTTAAATGTCTCAACCTCAAGGGTTCGAGGTGAAGGGAAAATCAAAACTTGTGTGTTTGCTTAGAAAGTCCTTATATGGTCTTAAGCAGAGTCCTAGGTAATGATATAAGAGATTTGATGCTTATATGCTTAAAATTGGTTTTAAGAGGAGTGAACTTGATGCATGTCTATATGTTAATAACTCTAAAATAGGCTGTGAAGTTTATTTATTGTTATATGTGGATGACACGTTGCTTACTAGTCCTAGTAAAGCTGAAATCATAAAGATGAAAAACCTTTTAAAATCGAAATTTGACAAGAAAGACTTAGGAGAGGCAAGAAAAATCCTTGGCATGGTTATTAAAAGGAATAGGGCTGATAATAGGATGACTATTAATCAAGAGTTTTATTTAGACAAAGTGATAACCAAATTTGGTATGAAATTTGCTAAGTCTGTCAATATACCATTAGCTGCACACACAAACTTATCATCTGCACAATGCTCTAAAACTGAAGAAGAAATGCATGAAATGAGTAATGTTCCCTATGCTAATGCCATTGGGTCTGTAATGTATTTTATGATTACCACAAGATCGGACCTTGCATATGCAGTTAGTTTTTTGAGTAGGTTTATGTCTAATCCAGGTAAACCACATTGGACTGCACTTAAATGGCTATTAAGATACCTAACTGGATCTTTGAAAAGGGGATTGGTGTTTGAAAGAAGAAGTAACAAATTATAACTTAAAGGATATGTAGATTCTGACTTTGCCGGGGATAAAGATCAGAGGAAATCTACTACTTCTTACTTCTTCACTTTAGGTGATAATTGTATCACTTGGAAATCACAATTGCAACCTATAGTTACACTCTCCAGCACTGAAGCAGAATATGTTGCATTAAATGAAGCTATAAAGGAATGCATGTGGCTTAAACGCCTTCTATGTAAATTAAACTTCTTGAATGATAATGCTATGATTTTTACTGATAGTCAAAATTCATTGATGTTGTGTAAAAATCATGTTTATCATGAACGTACTAAGCATATTGAGGCGAAGTATCACTTCATTAGGGAGAAGTTAGCTTCTGGTGATTTTATTTTGCTTAAAATTGCAACTGATGATAACCCTGCAGAGGTTGGTAAGTTCAACAAATGTTTATCAATACTAAGTATTGACAATGGTTAATTGTTGTGCAGGTACTAAGTTGGAGTGAGCGATGATGATAAAAATAAGACCACACTAATGGATATCACTTGTAATCGGGGAATTTGGCGATGGATGTTATGTGATCCAAGGTGAAGATTTGAAAGGTGGATCACAGCATAGTATTGGTGCAAGTTGATTGGTCTAGAGAATGTGACTTGGATTGTGTTAGTTATGGGGTGATATGGATCATAGATTAAATCCAATAGTTGGATTTAATCTAGTGGTCAATTACCTATACTAGTGTTGTCACTCTCTAGACCATAGTACAATATCTGAATTTTAAATTTAAATGAATTGGCTCTATAATTTCAAGACCTCTTCATTCTCTCTACTTGGACTTGGCATAACATTAGAGAGAGCATAGAGAGGTAACCAAGTGGGAGCTTTCCATAACTCCGGCGAAATTCTTGGTGGCTTCCGGTGGATTCTTTCTCGGTATATCTATTGCCATTCCCGTGGACGACGGTGCATGATTCGGTGTGGCACAAATCTGAGCTCAACATCAAGAACATGGTGTTGAAGAAGCTTGGAGTCGGTTTTGGTTCAATTTTACACTTTGAGAGTTTATTATTCCGCATTGTAGTTGTAATTATCTTTTGTATTCTTCACTTTAAACTCTACACAAAGTATTCCGTGCGTTAAAAAAGCAGACTAGAACTTAGCCAGAAGAGATACCGAGGTATTGAACGTACCTGTCAAGTTGTTACTCGCTAGATATAGATATTTCAGTCCAGTGAGGTTTCCGACTTTTGCAGGCAGATCGCCTGTAAGTTTGTTATCAGACAATGACAAGAGCCGAAGTGTTTTGCATTCCAATATGCTTGACAAAGCTTGTCCAGTTAGTTGATTGGATTGAAGATAAAGCTGCTCGAGTTGAGGAAGATTACGATGCATGTTGACTGGGAGGCTTCCGGACAGGCTATTCTCAGCAAGGTCAATTGTTTTCAGAGAAGACATGTTGAAGAGTAAAGATGGAACTGGCCCAGTTAGAGAGCCACCTCTTATACTAAATATCTCTAAATGTGAAAGATTGCCTATTTCCAATGGAATTCCTCCTGAAAAGTAGTCAAATATTCTGTGATTAGTCAGAGATAAAAATTGTTACAATTCCTGAAAGTTCGAAGAATTAACACTTTTTGTTCCCTTTGAGTTTAATTAACTTTGATTATACAGTTTAATCATTGAGTTTTTGTTTGAATGAACTATTAACTTTATATAAATGTGGATATTTTCCTTCCTGTATTGCAATAGCTCGAAAGATCATTATGCAAAATGCAGAGTGAAGAAATCATACCTCTGAAGTTGTTTGTCCCCAGATATAAGTTCCTAAGAACTGTCAATCTTCCAATTGCACTTGGTATGCTTCCATTGAATTGATTATTGGATAATGACATGACCTCAAGGTGTTTGCATTTGAATATATTTGACGGAATTTGCCCAGAAAGTTTATTCTTCGAGAGAGAGAGTATTTCGAGTTTTGGGATGCTATCACATATATCCTCCGGTAGGCTGCCTGACAGGGTATTACCAGTGAGATCAAGTGCTCTCAAAGAAGATATATTGAAGATACCGACAGGTATGAAACCTGTAAGCTGATTATTCTGTAAATCTAATGTTTCCAGGGTAGAAAGATAGCCTAACGACACAGGGACGCTGCCGGAGAAATTGTTGTTACTCAGAACAATGTGCTGAAGTTCTGGTAAGGTTCCAAACCATGATGGTACCTCTCCAGTGAAGCCGTTAAATCCCACATTTATATCTTTTAAACGATTCAAGTGAGAAAGCTCGGGGGGTATTATCCCAGTGAAGTTGTTGGAGCTAACGTCTAAAGAACTAAGAAATGTTAAATTTCCAAGATCTGAAGCCATGGTTCCTTTGAAGCCGAAGCCGGAAAAATTTAAGGCCGTGACTCTTTGTCGAGTCCTGCTGCAAGAAACGCCTATCCAGTTGCAAATGGACGTATTTGTCGACCAGTTCTCGGCCAAGATTTTGTTAGGATCTGAAGTGATTCTGGTTTTGAAGGCAAGAAGTGTTTCTTCATCTGTGGCTAAGCAAAATGCAAAGCAGTTTAGTGATAACACTGCAATGAAGAAGCAGAGTTTTTCCATGAATCTGAAACTTTTGTCTCGTGCAAGTTCGTTATGTAAATCTTTGTCAAGAGTGATGGCTCTATTTATTTCCTATAAGAAAGTTGCAAGTGGGTTCCTATTTAGAATTTGTAGCACATTGATTGTCCACAATTTCTGACCATTTGGATAAGAGATTAGATCCAAAGTTATTAAATGATTTATTTATGTTGCCTACGCCCCAAATCTTTGTTAGTTCCTGTTCGGCAACTATTATTTTCAAGTTTTTTTTTTCTACATATTCATTTTCAACTACACATTTACTCAATAAAATAATTTGTATGTAAATTCAAAATTTTTCCCTACTTTTTAACCACATTTCTCCTAAAAATCACTATTCAAAACTCGATTTTCCCCAAATAATGGTTGTCCTACATGGGCTTAGACTCTTCATGGCTTGGTTCATTTTTCATAAGTTGCAATATTGAAATTCGTAAAAAAAAAAATAAATAAAAAAAAAACGTAGGTCTACAACTTTCAAATTTAAACACTCGGATTTTCAGTCTTTTGATTTTGTAGCACATGGGTTCTTAAATACTGTTTTTCATCCATTTGATGTTAGCCATTGTTTGATCCTAATTATTTTTAAATATATTTTTTCTCTCTTCTCTTTAATCACAATTATTCAATAAAATAATATTACACGTAAATTCAAAATTTTTCTTCTTTTTTAACCACACATTCTCCATCAATCTACCATTCTAAAATACTTTCTTTGCTAAAAATGGAGCTCAAACAGGGCATGTTTGATTTTTGTTAGGGGTTGAACGTTTAATTTAATTTTAAAACAAGTAAAAGGGGAAAGGAAAAAGGGATCTATGCCCATCCTACCAAAAAAGGAAACAAAAGGAAAACACCAATTTTTATAGGTTGACCGCTGACTAGGCTTCAAACCTTTGTTAGAGTCATGGTCCTATCTTTTTAGTTTCAAGCATCTAAACCGACAGAGTGAAAATCCAGGGTTTGGAACTAGATGGCACGTGTCATTTGGTTATTGGGCATAATACAAAAAGAAGAGAAAAGAAAGAAAGAAAATAGGTGTTGACACGTGCACCTGTTTCCAAAGCCTGAATTTAATCCCTGGCAGAGCAACTTTTTCCTTTTAGTTTTTTATATAGAACAAGTTGGGTTGATATCGGCTACTAACATTGCAGTTTGTTAAAAATCTATATATATATTTAAATGGTCATTGAAATAATTTTCATACAATAATAGCCACTCAAATTTCTAACAGTTTTACTAATAATGAAACATCTAGAAAACAATACCCTAAAATTCTATATGTCACTACTATGTCATTATAGATCCAAACGATGTTAACTAGTAACCATGTAGACAAAGTCATGTTTTATTAATGAAACTATAATTATCATACACGTTTTCATCCGCTTGTTTAATTTTAATCCTCAATTAATGTGTTTTGGGCAAGAAAAAGATTTTAAACCCCGATTAATTGGCAAACGCATTTCCTCAATACGTTAACATTTTAATCCAGACGTTAAGTTTCCAGTCAAGTGGTCATTGTGACCAATAGTATAATATGCATAGTGTATCCACTGTACAAAAAGGAAGGATTTTGTTCACATCAATAACAGATGAAAGTCAGCAAGTTGGTATTTTAGAAATTGGTTTGAACCTCAGACTAATGCAACGCAGGATCATGGCATGGTAAGTTTCTGACTTTTCAATATATTAAAAAAAAAAAATGTCTACTTGTGCATGTATGACACTGACTGCACAGCAGCCCATAATGGCTGCTAGGAACACTACTGTCCATTTCTTTTCTATGTGGGACTTTGAAATTTGGAAGTAATATTTACAAATTTATAATAGTTTCTTCCAAATTTCTAATGAAAATGGCATTGCACAGATAATGTTTGATTAATTTACAAAAAAAGAAAAAAGAAAATGGTAGAGAAGTTGCCTTAAGCCATCTCCAACTATTAGCATTAAATTGATACAACTTTCATGTTGTCAAATTGATGCAATTTTCATAATATTTTACGGAGTCATCTCCAATCATTACACCAAATATTACACTAAATAAATAGTATTTGTGGACCGTAAAATTACAAACGACAAATTCTTCTCACCTAGCCAATATTTTTTGCCTCTTAAACTCTCTAGAAAGTAAAAGGTAGCATGATTTAATAGTGGGATTGTAACTAATTTTGTTACACATTCACATTTTATTCATCATATTAAGTGCGCCGTGTTCGTTGGTTTAGAAGTCATCTTAAAATACTTACCTATGTGTAATTTAATAGTGGCTCGCCGTCAACCGGGAATGGGGTGGCTCGCCCCTCCCTTTTGCGAGCCTTCTACATTTCAACCACCACGCGCTTTTACCCGCTTAGAGGGGTGGGGGCTCGTAAGATAAATTTCTTGATTCAAAAACGTTTCTTATTGTAAAATAATAAGAAAATTATTGATGATTATTTAGTATTATTACGATACATTGATAAGTCTTATCTAATTTAAAAGATTCATTTCATTCTAATTTTAACTCTTATTTTGGACATATAAATATAGGGCATTGGTTCTTAATAATACACATAAGTCTATTAACTCATATAATCTCTTCTCTTTTTCTCTCTAGTTTATAATACATTATCGGCACGATACTCTAAATATTATAGCAAATTAGTTTGAAGGTAGTCTATATTCAATCTCAAATCATATGCATTTTTGAATTCATGTTTATCCCCGAAGGAAAACATATAACTAATGTAATTAGTTTGACTATTTGAATGATATATGATTGTATAAGTTTTAATCGTGTTCTTCAAAATTAAATAATTGAATTATATCTTTTGTTTAATCAGAAGTTCAATTTAACTTTATCGTTTGACATAACCAGTTGGATCATCATTGGATTAATAATGATACGAAATTAAAAATTCAAATGGATATTCAATGAAGATCCAGAAAATTCTTCAATCTAATGAAATTTTATATGATATTTATTCTCTTTCATGAATTTTTTTCATTAACTATCACTAACTAAAATAGAGACTGGATTTCTTATATTTTTGTATCACTTTGCCCATTTATTCTTTTCTCTTTTTTTATCGAGTCAAAAAATATTCGAATTATAAAGTATGAACTATCCCATTGCTATTGCAGCACCTCCTAAAAAAGAGTTTCAGACGTTAAGTTTCCAGTCAAGTGGTCATTGTGACCAATAGTATAATATGCATAGTGTATCCACTGTACAAAAAGGAAGGATTTTGTTCACATCAATAACAGATGAAAGTCAGCAAGTTGGTATTTTAGAAATTGGTTTGAACCTCAGACTAATGCAACGCAGGATCATGGCATGGTAAGTTTCTGACTTTTCAATATATTAAAAAAAAAAAATGTCTACTTGTGCATGTATGACACTGACTGCACAGCAGCCCATAATGGCTGCTAGGAACACTACTGTCCATTTCTTTTCTATGTGGGACTTTGAAATTTGGAAGTAATATTTACAAATTTATAATAGTTTCTTCCAAATTTCTAATGAAAATGGCATTGCACAGATAATGTTTGATTAATTTACAAAAAAAGAAAAAAGAAAATGGTAGAGAAGTTGCCTTAAGCCATCTCCAACTATTAGCATTAAATTGATACAACTTTCATGTTGTCAAATTGATGCAATTTTCATAATATTTTACGGAGTCATCTCCAATCATTACACCAAATATTACACTAAATAAATAGTATTTGTGGACCGTAAAATTACAAACGACAAATTCTTCTCACCTAGCCAATATTTTTTGCCTCTTAAACTCTCTAGAAAGTAAAAGGTAGCATGATTTAATAGTGGGATTGTAACTAATTTTGTTACACATTCACATTTTATTCATCATATTAAGTGCGCCGTGTTCGTTGGTTTAGAAGTCATCTTAAAATACTTACCTATGTGTAATTTAATAGTGGTTCGCCGTCAACCGGGAATGGGGTGGCTCGCCCCTCCCTTTTGCGAGCCTTCTACATTTCAACCAACACGCGCTTTTACCCGCTTAGAGGGGCGAGGGCTCGTAAGATAAATTTCTTGATTCAAAAACGTTTCTTATTGTAAAATAATAAGAAAATTATTGATGATTATTTAGTATTATTACGATACATTGATAAGTCTTATCTAATTTAAAAGATCCATTTCATTCTAATTTTAACTCTTATTTTGGACATATAAATATAGGGCATTGGTTCTTAATAATACACATAAGTCTATTAACTCATATAATCTCTTCTCTTTTTCTCTCTAGTTTATAATACATTATTGGCACGATACTCTAAATATTATAGCAAATTAGTTTGAAGGTAGTCTATATTCAATCTCAAATCATATGCATTTTTGAATTCATGTTTATCCCCGAAGGAAAACATATAACTAATGTAATTAGTTTGACTATTTGAATGATATATGATTGTATAAGTTTTAATCGTGTTCTTCAAAATTAAATAATTGAATTATATCTTTTGTTTAATCAGAAGTTCAATTTAACTTTATCGTTTGACATAACCAGTTGGATCATCATTGGATTAATAATGATACGAAATTAAAAATTCAAATGGATATTCAATGAAGATCCAGAAAATTCTTCAATCTAATGAAATTTTATATGATATTTATTCTCTTTCATGAAATTTTTTCATTAACTATCACTAACTAAAATAGAGACTGGATTTCTTATATTTTTGTATCACTTTGCCTATTTATTCTTTTCTCTTTTTTTATAGAGTCAAAAAATATTCGAGTTATAAAGTATGAACTATCCCATTGCTATTGCAGCACCTCCTAAAAAAAGAGTTTCCCTTAGACTACAAACGTAAAAGGATGAAAGCGAATCGGTATGCACAGGGTGATAAATGGGGCCCATTATCATTCACATTGATCATCTAAATATTATTTGTATCTAATAGATTTGATACATATACTAGATGATTGCATGGTATTCGCAACCTGAAGTTTGCGAAACTATTCCTAAAATTATAATTGTGAGCATAATTTTCGAATTGTACAATCAACACGATGTATCTTGTT